GTGTGGCTCATTTGCGGCTATATGGCTAATTTACATATCAGTGTGTGGCTCATTTGCGGCTATATGGCTAATTTGCATATCAGTTTGTGGCTTATTTGCGGCTATATGGCTAATTTACATATCAGTGTGTGGCTCATTTGTGGCTATATGGCTAATTTGCATATCAGTTTGTGGCTAATTGTGGCTATATGGCTAATTTACATATCAGTTTGTGACTCATTTGTGGCTATATGGCTAATTTGCATATCAGTTTGTGGCTTATTTGCGGCTATATGGCTAATGTACATATCAGTGTGTGGCTCATTTGTGGCTATATGGCTAATTTGCATATCAGTTTGTGGCTAATTGTGGCTATATGGCTAATTTACATATCAGTTTGTGACTCATTTGTGGCTATATGGCTAATTTGCATATCAGTTTGTGGCTAATTGTGGCTATATGGCTAATGTACATATCAGTTTGTGACTCATTTGTGGCTATATGGCTAATTACGGTTTAATTACTAATCCTAAGCTACGCAAAACGGATTAATAATTGAATTAACTAATAGTATAAATTATGTTTTCCGAGGAGCATGAAAAAGTTCCTCAGGGGGTGTGTATTTCCGCGGAAGATGGTATATATCTGTATTTTTGTCCTCGCAACATATAGCAATCCAAGTACACACTAACTTACACAAGGGAGTCAAAAATCTTGCAACAAAAATAAAATCATAGAACGAAGAATACTACACAAAAATAATAATTGTCATTTTCTTTATTATTACACATTTGATACATCTAGAATGAAGTAAATAAATTAAAAATAATACTCAATTGAGTAAAAATCAATAAATACAGTGAAAAAAACGTGCGTTGTCTGTTTTAGGGTATATCACCGCTGTTTCTTATAGCAAGGATCTATTTCAATATCTCAAAAATTTGATCTCCAAAAGGGTAAATGTTACTTTTTGATGTCAAGAAGTATTAAAATTTGACAATATTTGTAGTGGATTTTTAAGGAGAAAATGTTTTCAGTGTCATCAACGGAAACTGCTCCTAAAAATGGCATTTTAATCATAAAAAAAAAACAGATTGACAGTGAACCAAAATGTCCACATAATATTTATTATTACTATGACGGTTTGTTGTTAACATAATTTGACAGGAAATAGTATCAAGACTATATTCACTAAAATGTTGAAAACTCACTCATTTTAACTTAATCTTTTCACCACCAGTTCCCTCTTTTCATCAAAAATTCACAAAAGAGTTTTTATTGTTTATAGTCTGCACTTTCCTTCAGAAGATTGGGACAAAAATAGCAAATTTTTTTTGAGCAAAAACTGAAAATTGACTCAAATTTTGTCTGTTGACTCCAAAATGAGGGTTCATTTACAGAAATATTGATGAATAAAAGAAAAAAGTGCAGAAAAATATGGGCGAGAAAGTCAGGTTGCGAAAAGGTTAAGTTACTTTTACCACTATAAAAAATACATGCATGATAATATTTTTTTTATTTTATCATAATTTATAGACCATGATTTCCAGAATAATATCTTTTGCTGAAGATTTTTTGAAAAAAAATGACTGAAAGATTAAAAAATTAAATTAAGAACTAAAAAAAGCATGCATAATCTTCACCACTGAGTTTAAAATTATTGCAATTTCTTCCATTGTCACATTCCTCAACATACCTAAGGCACATAAATATTTTGCATATTTCTGTGAAATTTCACAACAAATTTGTAAACACTGCTCAAAAAATCAAAATATATAATAAAAAATCCCTTTTTTATCTACTGAGAAGTATATATAACAAATATTTAACACATAAGATGTTCCTAAAATGTTGCTAGATCTTTTCCTGGAACTGTATGGCTATTTGAAAAAGCAAAAAAAAAAAAAAAAAAACATAAAATTCCCAAACTAGTTTTATAATTATGAACATAAATTGTATTTTGAACATTTTTCAAAATAAAACAAAAAACAAATAGGATAGAAAATTAAACAATAGGGTTACAAAATTTATTGTTCCCATGGAAACAAAACTGGGTACACCGACTTTTTTTAATTTCTCTCTTCATCCTCTAATTGATGGATAAACAAAATATCAAGAATGTGCCGTGTTTTTTTAAACATTTTTACTAGTTAATCACTAGTCATAACTAGTAAGTCATTAGTCATTACCAGTCATTACTAGTTATTACTAGTCATTACTAGTTAGTCACTATTCATCACTAGTTAGTCACTAGTCATTAATAGTTAGTCACCATTTATTACTAGTTAATTTTTAGTCATTACTAGTTAGTCACTAGTCATTACTAGTTAGTCACTAGTCATTAATAGTTAGTCATTCCCACCTATACAGTTGCATTCCCACTGATGAGTGAGTGAGGATCACCTTCTAACCAATATCAATAATATGAAATTTTGAGATTGTGGACAGATAATGAGAAATCAACAGTAGAATAGGAATAAACAAACGACCTGATGGTCGAAATAGCTCCACTGTTTCAGCCAATGCCAATGCCAAGTTTGAATGTAATCGGTTGATGACATGTGTGAATTTTGCCATTTATTCATTTTTGATGAAAATGGTCACTATTTGGCTAAATTTCAATGAAAATGAAAAATAATCGAAAACAACATTTAACACATTATGCCTTTGGGCAAAATTTACTCAAAATCTTTACAATCATCTCTGTAAAATGAGCAGAACCCTCGTAAAAAACAAAGTGAGAATGCAACTAAAAAAACTGTATTGAATTATGGGAAATATTTAACGATTCTCCAATTTGAAATTTTGAATGGCATAATCCTTACAGGTGAACACAACAATCACGCGACTGCATCAAAAAAGTGTCTTCACTCCTGTACTGAGTACACAAATCCACGGTTATGTTTCCAGAAATAGAATCCTACTCCTAAGCCGACTCCTCCTCCAATTAACAACATAACAATGGCGATAGCAGCCATAGCACCTGAAAAATATTTGCAATCTGTTGTAATGATTTGAATAAAATAAAATAAAAATTTGGTCAAATTTGGTTTGGTTCTTGTGTGCAGGTCACTTTACATGTAAACTCGGCAGCAACATTTTCAAATCACTAAAATATCGTAATCGTTAACTCTTATCTGCCAAATTTTGAAATTTCAAGATGCACACCACTGTATGAAGTATTTCTATGATCTCTAAGAAAGCTGCTGTGGAAAGTCGGTCGACGAGCTGGTGAAAACAGCGAAAGTCGGGAAAACAGCACAAAATCAATCATGAGACAATCCTAAACAGCCAAATTTGTCGCAAATGTAGGGGTGATCTTGTCATACTGTTTAGGAGAGTCTCAACAACTAGTACGGAGTACAGTTTTCTGAGATGTGTAACCATTTGTGGTTGCTAGGTGATGAAAATGTCTGGATGTTCAACTCCTGAGAACATGGACTTACCACCAGAATATCCTGATTTGCTTTCACTAGGTGTAGGTTCAGGTGGTCTAGGGTTGTTAGCATCCTCTACCAGTGTTTCTGTCTTTACTTGCAAAAAGGCTTTCTGTCATAAAAAACAAACAAATACAAACAGGTGATTTTCCGAACAATTGCGAGATCTCGCGAGAAGCATGAAAGACACGCGTCGAACGTCTGCCGCAAAAATCGAACGATTTGATTTTGAACTAGAATTTCTTTATTTCGCAGCTTACATTGACCGGCCGATCTTAGACAGAGGAATATTGCTTCCGAATACCCTCACTTAATCGAAATTGCCTATCATCAAATGTGGACAGCACATTATTAAGCATGGAAATGTCCCCGAAATACTTTCGCGTTTGTCGAATCCCACGCGATGTTTGACGCGACTACGACGCTATGACCTTTGTTTGTCCTGTTTTTACGTTCGATTTCACGCATAACGCGTGATTCTCACAGTGTACGGAAAATGGTCTATTAATTGTCTGTTTCTGAGTGTAATGGGTGAACCAGTATTACCCATAATGCCATCGATCTAAGGGACTGGCGTCACGACATGATATTGATTGGTTAAGTGTACTTACAAGTAGAATATATAGTGTACTTATAGCAGGGATTTTTTTAAACAAAGGAACAGGGGGGCAGCGCCCTCATACCATGGCCATGTGCCCCCTTACCCTGGGAAGCAGATCCTCTGGCAACCATAAAATTCTGAATGACCAGGGATCACATGTGGCCACAGTCTTCAACTGTGACCTGTCTTATAGTAATTTTGACCCGGGGGAAGCCATAGAATGCTCCATTTTTAAGAATTATCAAAAACTCCACACCCTGGTAGAGAGAACTCAATCTCCACCACATGGTGGTGCCGCTAAATTGCAATGCTCCCTCTTGCAGTTTTTTTCTAGAAAAAAAACCTGTCATAGTGTTTTACTTACATCGTTTTTGCAGTGGATGGTTATGATCATTTGACCATTATCAATCGCTGATTTCAACTTTGTATAAGCAGTTGTTAGATTCAATTGCGGTTTGACATGAGTGACATCACCAACGATGTTTGGATAGTCTAACAATGTGAACCACGCCTTCAACTGATCTTCTACAGTATCGACCTAAAGGGGAAAAGTTGAAAGACGAAATTCATATTTTTCATGGACTGGAAAGTTAAAGGTGTATATAAAACTAGTGGTTAAGTCAGTATTATTGTTGCTAAAAAAATAAAAATTCAAGAATTGAACCATAATCTATGCTGAGAATTATAAAAGTATTGTCCAACTACAAGGAAATTGTTGGTAATGTTTTCTTACTAGTTCTGTACATTTTACCAACTGTGTGTTAATTAAAACAGTATTTTTTGGGAGCAATAGACAACTGCTGTTTATTTTACCATGTGACTTAGAAAGAAGAACACTTTTTTCGCAAGCTGAACCATGAGGGGATAATATTATTATCGCTTACACGTCTTTTCACTAACACATAATCTACATTGACCCAATAACAATAAGAGTAATTATTGTCCTTAAGTCAATAACAATAAGCAGTATGTGCATAGTCAACTAAGGAGTATACATGTATGTGTAGTCACATGTACCGTTAGTAGTACTTGTTTGAATTGTGAGACATACTGTGGAATACTCTATTTTTGCTTGGAATTAATTTTCGCTATTTTTGCTGAAGGAATGATTCAGTTAAAATAAAATAAAATAAATATACCATTTTTCCTATCATTTACATTGAACTCGCTAAAAATCAGTGAAAATAAATGCCATACAACACACCTAAAAAGTTTTTTCAGCGAAAATTAATTCCACCTAAAATAAAGTATTTTACAGTATATCAAGTGAAAGGTCAAAGCGTGATTTGGTGTCAAAAGTTAAAGTATAGTGCTTTCAAATGCATATTATGGGATATTTTACTTACAAAGACATCCACCACTCTAAGGGGTGAGATCCCAGCCATGTGTGCAATACCATTTCGTAGATCTGCATAGAACTGGTTTGTGTTGTTGATTACATACAGATTATACAAATCTGAAATCAACAAGTATCCACTGTAAATTATCAAAATACTTTTTTTCTAAAATTGTGTGTCTTCAGTGAAGATCAAGGTGTTGTATGATGTAAATGATAACACAAAGGCACGCTAGCATTTCATACTTTTATGTTATGTTATTGGTTAATATGCAAAAAATGGAAAAAAAATGGGATCTCTGAAAAAATTTTCCAAAATAGTCGAAATTTTGCATTTATGGTTTCCATGATAATATAACTCTTCAATTCTCAAAATGTTACTCAGTTACATGAGATACAGAAATTTGCAAAATTTTATTGAACGATGATCAAAGGTTTAATTAAAATATGATTATGTGTTGCTATAGCAACCTACCAATGGTGTATGTAATTATAAGTTTGCTCACAGTAGAGCGGTTATTTGAATTTAAATTCTGAAGATATTGGAGCCTTACCTTGTCCATCAAACAGGAAAGCCAACGTTTTCTTTTCCTTTGGTTTATAACATCCTCTAACATCGAATGTGTTTAGCAGCGGTTTGGTTACTTTTTGAAAGTTAAAAAAATTGTACACCCAGTCAGTCTCTTTGATTGTGTCATTAATCTGAAACAGGAAATATATAATATTATAATAGGTGATTTTTCGTTCAAATGCGAGATCTCGCGAGTTGCATGAAAGGTGCACACTGAACGTCTGATGCAAAAAATGAACGATTTGATTTTGAACTTGAATTTCTTTATTTCGTAGCTCACATCGAAAGGCTGCTCATTGACAGGGGAATACTGCGTTTGAATACCTTTACGTCATCAAAATTGCCTATCATCAAATGTGTACAGCACATTATTAATCATGGAAATATCTGCCAAAATACTTTCGCGTTTGTCGAATCCCACGCGATGTTTGCTGCCACTACGATGCTATGACCATTTTTTACATATGATCTCATGCGTAACGCGGGATCTCGCAGTGAAAGAGATAATGATAATAATGACAAGGCAGTATACAGAATCTGAGCTGCTGAAACAACAAAAATTATGTTTATCAGAGAAGGCAATGATTTATTACGGAACACTTCAACTATAACACAACATTGCGCCAAATGGTAATAAATGAATAAACTTTGGGATAAAACAGAAAGTACAAGGAGCATGGTGTTGGGACACCCCCTTATCAAAACTGATCATCATTGAATGTGTATGTGGAAATTGTGGAAACCCATGCAATGTTCTGACATTACTACAAATCTAGGACCTATGTTTGACCTGTATTTATGTTCGATTTCACGCTTAACCTGGTATCTCACAGGACAGAAAATGGTCTATTTAATGAGCTAAATACTAGGTTTGGTGTGGATAATTTTATAACAAAGTCATAGCAAATTAAACAAATTTGATGTGATGTGATGTGATGATTCCATGGGTCAATCCCAGGGACTGACTTTGTGAAGGTGTTTTTCACCTGAAACAAACAGTATGAATATAGAGGAGTATAGTAGTAAACAATCTATGTATCTGCCCTGATTTTTGTAAGCGAAAAAAAAAAAATCCGTTATTTGTTATGTAAATAGATGATGTTTTTTCTCTAAAGCTTAAAATGCCATCTCTATCTTGTCTTTTTGTTTTTTGCTTGTTCTGTTTTGTTTTTTTGTTAGTTGCTACCATTGTAGTTAGCAGCTTGCTCCCATTATCCTTGTCATTTTTCTTTGTTTGATTTTGGTTGGTGCCTTCTCTTTTCTTTTCTTTTACTTTGCCCCAGTAATGAAAATGAAAGGTAATAGAATGACTGCACCACGGAAACTGAAAATGTTATATATATAGATGTATACGTCCTTGTATCACTCAATGTGTGAAGCCTGGGTAATCATCAGAAAAGATTGGGTATGTTCAATTGGTTAAAAAATACTAACTCTAATATTATTTTTCTACAGGAGACCCATACTTTGGAGAGGGATGAAACAGTGTTGAGCAGGGAAATGGATGGTCACTTCATATTCTCCCATGGGAGCTCGTTAAGTAGAGGAACAGCCATTATTATTCGAAACATCGACTATAAAATCAATTCCGTAACATGTGATGCCACGGGTAGAGTTATTATAATCTCTATTGATATTTTCGACAAACCATACCTACTTATAAACTCATATGCACCCAATAACGAGGCAGAGCACACTCTCTTTCTAGAATCTATCATTACACTTCTTGACTATCTCCATTGAATCAGATAGGGAAATAATTTTTTACAATGAATATACATTTAGATAGAATGGGGGGAAACCCTTCACCCTGGCGAAACTCGCGAAAAACTTAAGATTTATGTACAAAATTTGATTTAGTTGACATTAGGCGTCTACGAAATCCAAACACCAAATGTTTCACATGGAGACACCTGAGACCACACTTAATTCAAAGTCGTATTGACTATTTTCTTATTAGTAGTTCAACCCAGCTAGCAGTGAAGACTGCCGATATAATTCCTTGTGTACATTCAGACCATTCGGCCATTATAGTTACCATTGGCGATGAACGTTATAAATTAGGCAACTTCTATTGGAAGTTCAACAATAGCCTATTAGATGATCCTAACTATATAACTCTAGTTACAAATAACATTCCAGTTTCGATTGTGGAATTAGGCCAAAAGGAGGACAATGTACTATCATGGGAGTTCCCGAATTATAAAATAAAAAAAAACAGTGTGAATATTATTATTGGACCCTCAATTGTTATGTGAGGCTTCTTAGTTCCATCGCTTGGTTCCTCGATTGTAATGTGATGTCCCATAATTCCATGGGGCAATCCCAGAGACTGTCAGCTTACCATTCCAAACATGCTTACCCTCCATGTTTACTGAACTCTCAACTGTAATGTGATGTCCCAAAATTCCATGGGGCAATCCCAGAGACTTTCAGCTTCCCATTCCAAACATGCTTAACATCCATGTTGCCTGAACTCTCAACTGTAATTTGATGTCCCATGATTCAATGGGTCAATCCCAGGGAGTGTAAGCTTTTCCCTTTAAACAGTTCTTACCTTCCATGTTGCCTGGACCCTCAACCTTATTGGACTTTCTCTCTCAGTACCTGCTTTGGATCCGTCCATGGTCCAGTTAGTCTGTAAGGCAAATATATCAAATGAATCACTTTCTACTAATGTCAGACCCTGATATGAATAGACGGTGGTCATCATGCAGTGCTTTTTTATCATATGAGTGATTGTCCGTCGTCGTCCAGTGTCGTCCGTCGTCATCCATCGTCCGGTGTCCGTCGTTCGTGTCAATGTTTTACTTTTTCGACTTCTTGAAAACTACAAGCCTGAATGCTTTGATACTTGGTGTATATGTACCTTGGGTAGACCTCTCTCAGATTTGTTCATTTCATGATCATATCTTCAATTGGTGAATATTTTTGTAATTTTTGGTAAAAAGTGATATTTTCGACTTCTTGTTAAAAACCGCAAGTCCAATTGCTTTGATATTACATATATAGGTACTACATGTGTATCTCTCTCAGATTTGTTCATTTTGTAATGATATCTTCAATTCTCTAACTTTGGTGAATATTTTTGTCATTTTTGGTAAAAAGTGATATTTTCTTCTTGTTAAAAACCACAATAATTTATGGTTAAAAATTATATTTTTGAATTCTTGTTGAAAACAGCAAGTCCCATTGCATTGATACTATGCATATTGTTCATTTTCTAATGATATCTTTTGTTCTTTAATTGAAATGTGCATTGCTAACAGCGGAGCTATCTCAGCCGAGAGGCTGCTTGTTTAATTTTATGTAAACAAACAATATATTTTCACACATTGTATACGTCACTATGAGTCTCATATTGAACAGGGTATGGTGGGACGAACATGGCACTACAAGACGAACACGACATGGCAGGACGAACACGCAGCGGCAGAACGAACACGACACAGCGCAGCAGGACGAGCATGGCATGGCAGGACAAACATGGCATGGCACGACAAACACATCACGGCAGGACAAACACATCACGGCAGGACGAACACATCGCGGCAGGACAAACACATCACGGCAGGACAAACACATCACGGCAGGACAAACATCACGGCAGGACAAACACATCACGGCAGGACAAACACATCACGGCAGGACAAACACATCACGGCAGGACAAACACATCACATCATTTAATACAGTAAATGGAAACTGTACAATAAAGCCAATAGGGAAGTATTAGGGCAAGGTTTCTATAGTTTCACTATGTATGTGAGTTATGATTCAGTAGTGGTAATATTTTTCTCCCAGGCTATAAGTCCCAGATGCCCATTTTGCTGTATGTTACAACAGTCCAGCATACTTCTTTATTCATTTTGTGCATGCATACTTAGTGGTATTTCACAATAACATTATTTTTAGTTATTTTCCCTGCTTGTAATAATAACTTAATGAGAGATAAAAAAAAAAAAAAAAAAAAAAAAAATGTCGTCTCAGTGCAAGTCAAGTGACCTTTGACCTCAAAATACCCAACTAGTTCATATTTGACATGCATTAAAGTGAGAAAATTATCAAGTGTGTAAGCGACAGGCAGCCATATCATGTCATTGTTTACATATAAGAATCTACCCATGAACCTTTGCAGTTTTAGATTAATATGCATGAGCAGGTGGAAGACTCTCGCAAAAATTATGTGAATTTGGTTTGAAGTATTCAAATTACGTCCTCAAATTATGCAAATTTGCTTAAAAAATCACAACCTCAAATTATGCAAATTTGCTTCAGTATTAATAATAAGTGTTCGACTTACATCAGCAAAGAAGTACTCCCAGGTTGAATTGACTTCGTACCCTACATGTACAGCATAGTTTGGCCAGTCATTTCGGGTTGCAATCCAGGCATGGGTATCAATATCACGTATAACAGTCTGAAAAGTTATGAGTGATGACTAGATCAATACGCTAAGACTGAGTGAAACTCAACTCTTGAGCTTACACTGAGCGAAACTAAACTTCCAAGCTAATCTGGGCAAACCACAACTCCCGAGCTAAGTCTTGGCAAAACTCAACTACCTAGCTATAAAGTCTGGGCTAAACTCAACTCCCTAGCTAAGTCTGGGTGAAACTCAACTCCTGACGTACGTCTGGGCTAAACTCAACTCCCTAGCTAAGTCTGGGTGAAACTCAACTCCTGACGTAAGTCTGAGCAAAAATCAACTCCCGAGCTAAGTCTTGGCAAAACTCAACTCCCTAGCTAAGTCTGGGCTAAACTCAACTCCCAAGCTAAGTCTGGGTGAAACTCAACTCCCGAGCTAAGTCTTGGCAAAACTCAACTACCTAGCTATAAAGTCTGGGCTAAACTCAACTCCCTAGCTAAGTCTGGGTGAAACTCAACTCCTGACGTACGTCTGGGCTAAACTCAACTCCCAAGCTAAGTCTGGGTGAAACTCAACTCCCTAGCTAAGACTGAGCAAAACTCAACTCCCTAGCTAAGACTGAGCAAAACTCAACTCCCTAGCTAAGACTGAGCAAAACTCAACTCCCAAACTAAGACTGAGCAAAACTCAACTGCCTAGCTAAGTCTGAGCAAAACTCAACTCCCTAGCTAAGACTGAGCAAAACTCAACTCCCTAGCTAAGTCTTGGCAAAACTTAACTCCAAGCTAAGTCTTGGCAAAACTCAACTCCCAAGCTAAGTCTTGGCAAAACTCAACTCCCTAGCTAAGTCTTGGCAAAACTCAACTCCCAAGCTAAGACTGAGCAAAATTCAACTCCCAAGCGAAGACTGAGCAAAACTCAACTCCCAAACTAAGACTGGGCAAAATTCAACTCCCAAGCGAAGACTGAGCAAAACTCAACTCCCAAGCTAAGACTGAGCAAAACTCAACTCCCTAGCTAAGTCTTGGCAAAACTCAACTCCCTAGCTAAGTCTTGGCAAAACTCAACTCCCAAGCTAAGACTGAGCAAAACTCAACTCCCAAACTAAGACTGAGCAAAATTCAACTCCCAAGCTAAGACTGAGCAAAACTTAACTCCAAGCTAAGTCTTGGCAAAACTTAACTCCAAGCTAAGTCTTGGCAAAACTTAACTCCAAGCTAAGTCTTGGCAAAACTCAACTCCAAGCTAAGTCTTGGCAAAACTCAACTCCAAGCTAAGTCTTGGCAAAAACTCAACTCCCTAGCTAAGTCTTGGCAAAACTCAACTCCCTAGCTAAGTCTTGGCAAAACTCAACTCCCGAGCTAAGACTGAGTGAAACTCTATATTTACTAATTACAGTAATAGACGCGTATCTCTGATAGAAGTACATATCAACCAAAAATCATGTTAACTGCACTGAGTCATTAAAATACAACTTATTTTGACCCTAGAAAAACTTCTGTAATTAACTCAAGAGCATGCCAAAAGGAAATTATGCAGATTAGATAAAAAATTATGAAAAAGAAAATTATACAAAAATACTTAAAAAATAGCAAAATTTTGGCAGACAGAAATGACGGCAACTAAAAGGGTTGAATCTAGGTAAATCAGTCAAAGTACCTTTCCTTCATACGTCCAATTTACGTCATTTGCATACACAAAATTTGTGACATCACGCATGGTTATATTACTGTCTGGGTTTCCAGGGTCGTCAAGACGAGCATCATCACTATACTTCCATATTGGCTTTATTGTACAGTTTCCATTTACTGTATCAATCGTATATTCTATACCTGTAAACAAACATAGTGAAACTATAGAAACCTTGCCCTAATACTTCCATATTGGCTTTATTGTACAGTTTCCATTTACTGTATCAATCGTATATTCTATACCTGTAAACAAACATAGTGAAACTATAGAAACCTTGCCCTAATACTTCCATATTGGCTTTATTGTACAGTTTCCATTTACTGTATCAATCGTATATTCTATACCTGTAAACAAACATAGTGAAACTATAGAAACCTTGCCCTAATACTTCCATATTGGCTTTATTGTACAGTTTCCATTTTCTGTATCAATCGTATATTCTATACCTGTAAACAAACATAGTGAAACTATAGAAACCTTGCCCTAATACTTCCATATTGGTTTTATTGAACAGTTTCCATTTACTGTATCAATTATATATTCTACAGTACAGTTCTCGCGGAAGCTTTGGCTTTTGTGGCATCATTGTCGCCTACGCATGACTTCATTGTCGCCTCAGCATCGCATCATTGTGGCATCAGCTTCGCGTCATTGAAAATTGAAGCTGTGTTCGCCTCGCTATTTTGTGGCATCATCGTGGCCTCAGCTTCGCAATCTCATGGCATCAACATGGCATCAGCTTCAACTTATTGTGACATGAGTATGACCTCATTATTTGCACGCAGAAGGGCAGTAGACAAAAACATGTACAGAAGTTCGATATGTAATCGATTTGAAATTCAAAGCGAATAAAATAATATGATCAAGAGTAAAATGACATTTTAAAAAGATATCTTGTTTAATTAGTTTAGTGTTGCGAGTATTGGGCACCAAAAACTTTGCGAAGTACATTACAATCGGCAAGGTGACGAGTTTCATATTGACTGGAAGGAAAATCGTGATAAATTCAAATCACACGATGCAATCGTCGTTCTGATACAACACAATTTGCTGTATACGAAGTGAAACTGTTGTTGTTATAAAATTTACCTTTTTTTCGCTCATTTTATTTGCTG